TGATGTGTTATTATACCTAGGAGATGCCAAAAATTCCACCAGAAAATTTTTGAGAAATAGGGAGGCCTCACGTTCAGTAAACTGGCAGGTTACAAATGAATCTACAAAAGTATGTAGCTTCTCTATATACCAATAACAAGCAACCAGAGAAAGAATACTTGGAAACACTCCCCTTCACAATAGATGCAAAAAAAAAAAAAATCTCCGAATAAACCTGACCAAAGACATTAAAGATCTCTTCAATAAAATTTTAAGTCTTTAAAGAAAGAGATTGAAGAAGACATCAGAAGATGAAAGGACCTCCCATGCTCATGGACTGGAAGAAGTAATATTGTGAAAATGACCATCCTACCAAAAGTCATTTATAGATTCAATGCAATGCCAATCAAAATCTCCATGACATTTTTCACAGAATTGGAAAAAACCATCCTAAGATTCATATGGAAGCAGAAAAGACCTAGGATGGCCAAAGTAACCCTGAGCACTAAGAACAATGCCAGGGAGATTACTATACCAGATTTTAAGCTGTATTACAGAGCTATAGTCATAAAAAAAACATGGTACTGGCACAAAAATAGACCCATAGATCAATGGAACAAAATTGAAGACCCAAACATGAATACATGCCATTTCGGTGACCTTTTATTTGACAGAGGGGCCAAGAACATTCACTGGAGGAAAGACAGCATGTTCAGCAAATGGTGCTGGCAAAACTGGATCTCTACCTGTAGAAGAATGAAGCTAAACACCCTACCCTTCACCTTGCACAAAAATCAGTTACAAATGGATCAGAGACCTCAATATAAAGCCTGAAACCCTAAAACTGTTAGAAGAAAACATTGGGAAAAACCTACAAGATATAGGTGTAGGAAAGGATTTTCTAAACCGGACATCAATTGCTCAGGAATCAAGGGCAAGAATCTACAAATGGGACCTACTTAAACTACAAAGCTTTTGTACATCAAAGGAGACAACCAAGGAAGCAAAGAGGAAACCCACAGAATGGGAGAAAATCTTCACCAGCGACACATCCGACAGAGGTTTAATAACCAGAATATATAACGAACTCAAACACAAAAAATAGAGAATCAAGACAAGAAGCAACCCAATTAAAAGATAGGCTAAGGAGTTGAACAGAGAGTTCTCGAAGAAGTAAAGATGGCTATGAAACATCTTAAAAGATGTTCAACATCACTAATAATTAGGGAAATGCAAATTAAAACCACTTTAAAATTTCATCTTACCCCAGTCAGACTGGCTAAGATCAAGATAACAAATGATACCAAATGTTGGAGAGGATGTGGGGAAAGGGGAACACTCATCCACTGCTGGTGGGGCTGCAAACTTGTTCAACTCCTATGGAAAGCAGTGTGGAGAACTCTAAAAACTACAAATGAACCTAGCATTTAACCCATTTATACCACTCCTTGGCATAAACCCTAAAAACTCATCCTATTGCAGAGACACTTGTACATCCATGTTTGTTGCTGCTTTTTTCACAATAGCCAAGAGATGGAAGCAACCTAATTGTCCCTCAATTGATGAGTATTTAATGAAAGTGTGGTTCATTTAGAAGGAGCTTTACTCAGCAGTAAAGAAAGATGAAATCATGAAGTTTGCAGGTAAGTGGATGGAACTAGAAACTCTTATACTAAGTAACACAGACTCAGAAATAAAATCAATGTATGTTCTCCCTCATATGTGGATCCTAGAACCAAACCCTGATAAGTGAGTATGTATCCAGACATAACTACAGGAACCAGGATAATGGAAAGGAAACAGGGAGGTAAAGGAAAAGAAAGAACCTGAAAGAGAAGAACAGTAGGAAACAGGCCTTAACAAGGGAGATATGGATAAAAATTGGGTTAGTTTAAGGGAGAGGGGAGGGAAGGATATACAAGGAACCCAGGGGATATAGGGAAAGAAGAAGATCAAGAGAGGTAGGACTGTAGGAGAAGGGTATTATTAAAGGAGAAAGGGGAAAAATGGGGGCACTTTAATTGGGGAAACCACGAAGGAGGGGTTAGACAATGCGAGAGATAAATAATGTCTAGCTAGTTTTAAAAACCAGAGGGACCCATATTAGTCCAACAACCTCCAGACAAATTATACATACCAGATCAAGAAATATATGTCTAGGCAAGGTTTATCTGAGAACAATTGTCTTTGCCCAAGATTTATCTACATGGCACACAGTAATTAAAATTACCAGACTGGTGGAACTAACCTTCTTGGATGTTTAACAGACATACTTTTGAGGCCTATAATAATTTTGTCAGAGGGACATAAAGGACACTTTTGCTCCATACCCTCCTAGGTTGACTAGTTCCAGGGGACTATGAGCATCTTTCAAAATGTCCTGTAATGGTGGTGGTCACCGGTCCTCTTGGTCAAGGAGGCTGAGGAGTCCTGACCAGATGGAGTTGAACCAGTGTCCAGTCTACAAAGAGGCTGGCCAACACAGAGGTATCATTTCCTCCATGCTTCCAAGCAAAGCCAACCATGGTCTTGTAGGACCTTATACTTTTCTTCACATAGGTGGAACTGGTAAAAGAAAGGTGCCAGGGGCTCCTCCCAAGCCCATGTGATCCCTGAAGAACAGATCCTCAAATGGTCTTAGAGTACAAATAAATTAGTTTATCTGGGCCAACTGTATGGCCTTAAACACCCAAAAGGAAAGTATAACTGAAGATTAAAAGGGGACAATATAATTTTTAAAGAGTCCATATGTATAGCTAAAGGCTACATAGCAAGCAATAATGCCAGATAGAAGATACCTTCTTTTGAGTTGTTGGCCAGGGTCCAAGGAACTCCCAGATAGTAGCCCAGCATAGAACTGGGAAAATGAACAGCAGACCCCAATCTTATCTAAATGAATATTGATAACTGATTGCTGCTAGATGAGGAACAGCTGACCTTCCTAAAACAAAGACCTCTAGATAGGCTGACAAGATTCATCAGATGGACCAGTAGTGAGGAATAGCTGGGGGTGTCAACACAGCAGACAGTAGCAGGGATAACAAAGTGTAAGGGCTCTAGTGGGGGGAGGGAGGTTATGGGAGGGTGCCATCCGGAAGGTGAGTGTATAGTTGAATAAGATGGTTTGGGATGTCCTGTGTGATATATATACACACACACACACACACAAATCAACAAATTAAGAAAATGAATTATATTTGATGAGGAAGCCTAAAAATTTACGTCATTTTAATTAGTAGAGGTAATAAACATTACCACTGAAATCTATCTGATGACTTTATAGACATACACAGGTGCCAAGGGTCCCGGTGCAACCAATTATGACTAGTAATAATCAGATACATACAGATTAGAGATGCATACGCCAACATCTCAGTGTTAACAAAAACAATGAGTCTTTCTGTAGGGAACAGTATATTTTAAAATGAAATGGAGATCTTTTTTAAAGGTTAAAAGCTCATTCAATTTTATGTCTTACAGGGTTTATACTGAGTTCAATATTGTATAACTGTATTAATTCAACAGTGAACCTAAAAATTTTATAGCCACTTTTGAAAGAGATGTATCTTTGCTCTGGAAACTGTTATTGAGTATATTAAAGCTGTAATGAAATGCTTCTTCTAAAAAAATTTAAAAAATATTAAAAAAAGAAAAAAAACACCCAGGTGCACACACAGAATGACTAGGCCACATTTTTCTTTATATATTCTTCATTTTTAGTTGACTCGAGACAAGGTTTCAATATGTCGCCCAGGTTGCCTTCAAACTCCCTATCCTCCTGCCTCTTCCTCCCCAGGGCTGGGAGTATTGGCATGTGACACCATGCCAGGCATCACTTCTTTTGTTCTTTTTCATTATTCTTTTTCTCCTTGCTGAAGTACCTTAAGGAAATTATGGGCTCATTCTTTTATTTTCACATCTACGAAGTCTTGAAGTCATTTACACTTTTTCAAGGTTAGCTAGAAAAACCTCTCCCAGGACACAGCTCCTTACCTCCCTGGACAGCAGTGACTCTTTCACTTTTACCCTGATGACCTACCTGTTCCTAAGCTAGGAAACACCATATTATAATTATAATTTTTTCCTTTGTTACACTTTATTTTTCAAGGAAAACATGTTAGACATCTTTCTGAGCACAGTGAGATGAAAACAGCATGAAGTTAATTTTGAGTATCTGAGGGTATTTCTTTGGAATGGAATGTATATAGTCTCAAAACTGAGTACTTTGTTATTCAACTTTTCCCTGAGAAGGATATTTTCTCACAACTAAGCATAATTTTGATGCAATAAAAAGAAACCCAAATAGGGCTGGGATGCAACTCAGTTGGTAGAGTGCTTGCCTAGCATGTACAAAGTCCTGAGTTCTGTCCCCAGTAACACATAAACTAGGTGTGATGGCACATGCCTGTAAAGCCAGCACTTGGGAAGTGTAAGCAGGAGGATCAGGAGCTCAAGGTCATCCTTAGCTGAAAGTGTATTGAAGACAAGTCAGGAGTAAATGATACCTTGTTCTTTACAAAAACTCAAACAGGGGGCTAGAGACATGGTTCAGCAATTAAGAGGACCTGGGTTCGATTCCCAGCACCCATATGGTGGTTAACAACCGTCTGCAACTCCAGTTCCAGGGAATCCGATGTCTTCTTCTGACTTTCACAGGCCAATACACTCACACACATAAAAAAAACAAAACAAAACAGAAAAATAGTAACTAAAAAACCCAAACAGATATTAGTTAAGTGCCCCTATGTTCCCATTATTTTTAGGGGGAATTTATTCTACATTTATGAAGGACCAGAAATAATAGCCTCTTACCTGATTCAGCTTGGGTAAATCCTTTGCATTCTTTGATTTAGACTTATTTTCTGGAGTCCAGAGTCTCAGATAATTACGATTTTCTTGAGAATTTGTCCTCTTCCCTACAACCCAAATGTTTGGAGATGAGTGTTCATAGATCAAGAAACAAATGCTCAAACAGCAAGGAGGTCGACACAGACGAGCATACCTGTACCTTTGTCCCGCTTCAGACCCAGACTCACGGCGACAAAGCCTTCATCTGCACTCTGTTTGCCTCTGCTGTCCAACCCAACAACTGTTGAGAAACATTCAGAAGGAAAAAGCAGGGCGTTATAGAATATGACCACAGACTTAGCATTAGTAGAAATGAAGAATCTAGTTCGGATGGCCTGATTTAGCAAACAATAATTAGTAAGTTGGCTGGAGAGATGGCTCAGCTGTTAAGAGCACTTGCTGCTCTTGGAGAGGACCCAAGTTCGATTCCCAGCATCCATGTCAGGTGGCTCACAACTGCCTGTAACTCCAGCTCCAGGAGATTCAACACCCTCTTCTGCCTCTGCAGGGATCGACATTCATACATACACACACACACACACACACACACACACACACATATACATAAATAAAAATAAAATAAATATTTAAAAACAAATAAATACCAGTATCAAATTTCAAATATGTAATTCTTTTGGTTAAAGAGTATCTCTAATACTATGCTACGTATACTTAATTATTTTTTAGCTGAAATCTGAATTTTATTGGACGGTCTATATTTTATCTGACAATCCCATCTCTCAAGGACTACCCCAGATTTCTTTTTCACATCTGGGGTTCAGCGTACAATTAAAAATTAAAGGGAAGATGCCACATAGTCTATAGAACTTACAGGAAGTGATGGTGCCTTCCCAGTACGTTACACACAAACCCTCTGTCCTGTCTGTAATCTTATCATCTTTTCAGGAATGACATCCATCTTTTGCTATTACCTGAAAAAAGACCAAGAGCTTATTCCTTCAGGGAAGCTGAACTGTGAGTAGAAGAAAGAAAGAATGTCTTCTTCCCAGAAGGTTATGTGTACAAGAATCTATCAAGATAGTTTGACGTTTCTAAAATACTATTATTTTTGTTGTTGTTTTGAGACAGGATCTCCCTGTACTCTCAGGTGGCCTGGAACTTACTATGTAGACCAGGCTGGCCTCAATCTCATAGAGATCTGCCTGCCTGACTCCTGGGTGCTGGTATTAAAGGCATGCACCACCATGCTTGGTGTGGGGAAGACATTCTTTTTAAAAATTTATTCTTATTTTATGCATACAAGTGTGTTGCCTACATGTACATAAGCCCCTATGTTGTGCATTGCCAGTAGAGGCCAGAAGAGGGTATTGAATCCCCTTGGAACTAGAGTTAAAGACAGTTACATGCAGTTGTTGGGAACTGAACTCAGGTCCTCAGGAAGGGTAGTCAATGCTCTTAACCAACTGTTGAGCCATCTCTCCAGTCCCAGAAAAACATTCTTCAAAAAATTTTTTTTGATTTATTTATGTGTATGCATGTTTCGCCTGTATGTACGTAAGTGTATCCATGTTGTGCAAAGCCTGTGGAGGCCAGAAGAAGGTGACAGATCCCCTGGAACTGGATTTCTGAATGGTTGTTAGTGGTCATGTGGGTGCTAGAAGAGTCGTCAGTATATTTAACTGCTGAGCCATCTCTCCAGCCCCAGAAAAACATTCTTAAAAAGCACTGCTGAAGGACATTCAGCACTACTAGCATGTGACCATTTCTGAAACCATTTCCAGAACATGAGACTCCCTTCTGAAATGAGTAGCCACTGAGAAAGGTATGGCTACCATTTTGCAGCCAGACTCACGGCTGTCCATAACAAGAATACGGGTGTGCTCAGGACCATGTGAGAAGCCATTACTACAGACTGCACTATCTCAGTGGGTCCTCATCACCTACAGTATGACAGCTATCATCTCCATTCTCCACACTGAGAAACTGAGGCAGGAATCTACCTGCAGTCACTCAGATGACAACATGCAGAGCTAGTATCCTCTCCAAGCGCCTATATTCAACTTGTACTATGAGTCTCAAGAAGATGAAGTCTGGCTCCTTTTTCTCTATCCATCTCCTTATGTGCCTGCAGTTTAAAAGCAGGTCTACATTGTGTTTATTTAGGGATAGCAAGACTTAAGAGACTAAAGAGCCCAGAAGCAACCTGTGTTTGCTGTTGGACTTAGGTGAAGTGCTGAAGCTAAACAATGAATTGGAAGGGAACTTCGTGTAGCAGCAGCTGAGAGATGCTGCCTAGAGTCCCAAGACAAAAGGCACATGATTCATCAACAAATGCATTTGGAGATAGATACAGTGAGCCAAATTCCATCTACATAGACCAAACAATCACACAGACGAGGGGTTGGCAGCCTTCTGAAAAGGGCCAGATGGTAAACAGCCCTTCCTGGAACTCCGAGGAGGATTGGCTCCAGTACTCCTTGTGGATACCAAAGCACACAGCTGCTCAGATCTGTTATATGCTTGTATATAATCTACACATATCCTCTTGCATAATTTAAACCATCTCTAGATTACTTGTAAGAATGAATGCAAGGTAAAAGCTCTGTGAACAGTTGGAATGCTCCACTGTTTAGGAAATACTGACAAGAAAAAAAAGCTTTGCACATGTTCAGTCTAGATGCAATGCTTTGTTTGAATACTTTTCAATATACAAATCTGAACCTATGGATTTAGAGGGTTACCTGAATTTTAAACTTGCAGGCCATATGATTTCTGCCTTAACTGCTCAGTTCTGCCACTACACCATGAAATAAATGAATAAACATGGTTGTGTTCTAATTCAACTTCATTTATCATCGCTATAAATTTTATGTACTTTTTGTATGGCAAGAAATATTTTCCTTTTGACTTTAAAAAGCACTTAAAAATGAGAAAAGCTTTTTGTTTTTTTCTTGTCTTTTTGAGACAGGGTCTCCCTGTAGCCCCAGCTGTCCTGGAACTCACTATGTAGATTAGGCTGGCCTCGAAGGCACAAAGATCCACCTGCCTCTGCCTCCCAAGTGCTGGGATTAAAGGCATGCACTAGCACGCCCAGCCTAAGAAAAGCTTTTTAAGCTCAAGTTCAAGACAAGCAGTGGGTTGGGTATGGCTCAAGAGTTGTCCTTGGCACCTGTTGTAGAGCACAGGGAATGGGAATGCCTTCTGTTTTTATTTTTTTGCTTTCTCTCTCTCTTTCTCTCTCTCTCTCTCTCTCTCTCTCTCTCTCTC